CTGTTTTAGGAGGTACAGTCATCCAATCAGGGAGAAGAAACAACAGCATGGGATTTGGTGACCTATCACACATCATAAATCGTAAAAAATTCTTCAATTCTTGCACAACCCCATAGGCTGAAAATTGTTCTTCCAAATTATCTGGTAAATTCTTCCAATAAGCAGCACCAGGTTGGTTTGCAAACAAATCATGAACAGAAGAATGACCTACACTTGTGATGAATAATTTAACCAGTTCTTGTAGTGAGCACTGTTATTTACTTTTATTTAACTATTGTCATAAACATGTGAGATAAGAAACCAGGAATTCAATGGATTATCATGCGTGGATTACAATCCTGGTTGTAGAGAACCTCTATTTCAGGGGTTCTCAAATGGGGGGTCACAACCCCCTGAGGGGGTTATGAGGTTATTACATGGGGGGGGAGGGTCGCGAGCTGTCAACCTCCACCCCAAACCCTGCTTTGTCTCCACCATTTATAATAGTGTTAAATATACAAAAAAGTGTTTTTAATTTATAAAGGAGGGGTCGCACTCAGAGGCTCGCTATGTGAAAGGGGTCACCAGTAAAAAAGTTTGAGAACCACTCCTCTATTTAGAGCGAAGTTATATGTAAAGTGACTACCTTATACAGCATATTTAGTGTCTTGACAGTAACATACCCAACTCCCAATTTAAAACTGTTTCTTGAGTCATCTCGCCTTCAAGCGTAGTTTTACCTGCCTCCTTACTCAACACCACTAACATTCTGATTGGGGAGACTCTGGGGGTTCAGAACCAGTATATCAAGGTCCTCCAGCCACAAGTGTGTGAATGGCCAATTTTCACTGCCTGTTGAAAGGTGAACTTTATGAAAAATGAGTTTAAGGTCTTTGGAGCCAACACAGTTCAAGACCAGTGAATAGGCTTTAGCTCTACAGCAAGACATTAGCACTTCAGAACAAGCACCTGGATTCCTATCTTACTTCCCAAGACAACCTCCTCTTTGGGATTTTTGTTAACGTCTCCAACATGCATGTCCGAAGACCAAATTTCTCATATCCTAAACTCTTGAAAAAAATCTCCCTGCGACACCGAGCTCTCAGTGCAAACATTTAAGCAACTGGCTTGTTAGGAAATCACACAGTAGCTCTCACTTGTTAATGCCTCAGACCAAAATTTTAAAACCCACCTTCTCTTATACCTACAGTTTTTGGCACTTTGACAGCAACCAAGCAATTCCAGAAATCAAAAGTGCAGAAACTAGCAGGAGAGAAAAGTTCACTACTAGATGTGTTGGATGACAAAGTAATCTTTTAAAGGGGAAAAAAAAAAGGAAAAAAAAACCAACCATATGCAAGGATTTAACCCAACGTATAAACAGAACAGTACCCTAAGGGAAAAATAAAGCTTAAAGAAGCAACACATGGAAATGACGCAGATCTGAAGAACTAGCAAGTTCTTTCCCATAGCATTTTGTACTAGATGTACAAGACTGAACTCTGCTCCAAGGAAACCATTACTTCTAATTACTGTGTAAGAAGAACAGTTAGAACATATTAGTATTATCCATCAGAGAGGCAAAGCAGGCTAGAGCAGTGGGTCCCAACGAGGGGTACGTGTACCCCAGGGGTATGCAGAGGTCTTCAACTCATCGAGATATTTGCCTAGTTTTACAACAGGCTACATAAAAAGCAGTAGTGAAGTCAGTACAACCTAAAATTTCAAACAGACAATGACTTGTTTATACTGCTTTATATACTATACACAGAAATGTAAGTACAATATTTATATTCCAATTCATTTATTTTATAATTATATGGTAAAAAAGAGAAAGTCAGCCATTTTTCAGTAACAGTGTGCTGTGACACTTGCGTATTTTTAGGTCTGATTTTGTAAGCCAGTAGTTCTTACATGAGGTGAAACATAAGACCAGCCATACTGGGTCAGACCAAAGGTCCATCTAGCCCAGGACCCTGTCTTCTGACAGTGGCCAATGCCAGGTGCCCCAGAGGGAATGAACAGAACAGGGAATCATCAACTGATCCATCCCCTGTCGCCCATACCCAGCTTCTGGAAAACAGAGGCTAGGGACACCATCCCTGCTCATCCTTGCTAATAGCCATTGATGGACCTATCATCCATGAATGTATCTAGTTCTTTTTTGAACCCTGTTATAGTCTTGGCCTTCACAACATCCTCCAGCAAGTCATTGACTGTGCATTGTGTGAAAAAATACTTCTGTTTGTTTTAAACCTGCCTATTAATTTCATTTGATGACCCCCTAGTTCTTGTGTTAAGAGTACGCAAGACAAATCAGACTCCTGAAAGGGGTACAGTAGTCTGGAAAAGTTGAGAACTACTGGGCTAACAGATTGGGAGTCAGGAGAGCCTATGTTACCATCCCTGCTGTCACTGAACACAGGTTGTAGCCTTGGGCAAGTCACTTCACTCCTTGCGTCTGTTTCCCAATCTGTAAAATGGGGATGGTTACCTTAGCTTACAGGGTGCTGGGAGATCTAATTAACGTACAGGGCTTTGAAGATGAGAAATGTTAAGCGGTATTAGTACCTGAGTAGGGCTTCTGATTTTAGATTTTAAACAATAAACCCCCCTCCCCCCAATAAAACAAAAAACAAATCAGTGTTTACCCAATAAATACCAGAAAAACACCAAGGGCTGGTCTACACGGAGCTGTAATGTGGACTATGGGGGTGTGATTTCTAAATCAAGATCAGATGTTTTTCTAAAAGATCTTCTCTAGAAATTATTTTGGGAAAGTTCTATGTCCTGTGCTACACAGGAGGTCAGACAAGAGACCACAGTGGTCCCTTCTGGCCTTGGAATCTATTAATCAAAAGCACACCAATGTGTTGCCCATTTATTGGCCAGGCCGACTCCGCTGTTGTGCATTAAAGGTTCCCTAGCGCACTTTAACATGGCACTGTTTGGCACACTATGGAACGTTACAAAGAGATTACTCATTACAGTATACACAAAGAGAAAGCCCTGGAAAAACCTCCGTTTTTGGGACATCGATATAAAAATCAAAAATTGCTAAAAATACCCCCCCCAAAAGGAAATTATAAACCCCCCAAAAAACAACCCCTGTACATGTTCAGCACTCAACTCTCAGACTCAGCCCTGCAATGATTCAGCACAAGTAATCAAAGAATCTATATTTACATTACTCTAAAGCTTGTCATTTTGTGGCAAGCAAATAATTGAACACAACATATACACAGACTCTCGGTGGTATCATTTGCAGCATAAAACATATTGCATATTGACATCAAGGCCACCAGCACAAAAGATGCCTGATGCAAGTTTGAGGAAATCAACACAACTGTTGTCTGAAGCTTCTCATTCTCACTTCTACCTAGATCGCCCACAACGTACATACTTCAATCTAGTTTATTACAAAATTAGACAGGGGGTGGGGGTGGGGGAGGGCATGTGGCCATGGTTTCCACTAACCTTGACACTCTTAACAATTTAGCCACCAGCTGAGAAATTTCAAACATTGTTCAGACAATGTGAAAAACTGATTTGCACAATCTACAGCCTGGCTTGCCAGCCAAGCCAGTTTTGCAAGGTGCTTGTGAAATAATAAGGCAGCTTGTGCATGAATGAATTCAGAGACCATCCCCTTCCATAATGCCCAAATGCTGCACCTTTCAATGGCCAGCAATCCTCAAATGGTACAGGAGTCTACTATAAACACAGTCCATTTAGACATCCTAAATAACTAGAATCCTCTCCAAAACTTTTGAAAAAAAAAAAAAATACACAGATAACCCAATTGTAAAGTCAGTCACCCACCTTCCTTTGTAAAATGCTTTGAGAACTAGGGATGAAAAGCACCGTATAAGAGCTAAGTACTATTATTAGGCCTAAAAAACCCACATGCAAGAAAAACCTACTCCAAAATAAACCCAAATATTCCTCTTACTATTAGGAGAGGATCTAGAAGTGAACGATAGGGTCAAACTCAGATCAAGTGGTACTGGATGCAAGGAAGAAAATGGCCCTAGGCTTAGAGGTATGGAAATCAGCGTAACATCCCATTTAATGGAGCAAAGGGAACTGTTCCTAGATTTTGGCAAAGCGGCAGACTTCAAGATAGTGGATGGGGGGGGAAGGAAATTGTCTCGATTTCAGCAGTAGGGCAAACTTCAGGCTGCTAATGCGGATAGCACTGGTCCTCGATTTAGCAAGGCAATGTTAGACATCACCCTTAGCCCAACGCGCCTTGTCTACCTGAGGAAGAAGCACTCTGTGACAGCATCAGGTGCAGCTGAAGGAGGACTACTGGAAGCCAAGGAGCAGTTTAACCACTATTTCAGAAATGGTGCTGAAAACAGTTTGCTCTTGTCTACAACTAAACCGCTTTCAGCACCAGTTCAGCTGCACCCAACTGACAGTCTGCGCTAGGAGGGGTATCACAGTGCTTATATCACTCTATCACCCAGGGCATCCAAGTGCCTTGCCACAATGAATGGATTTTATCCTCAGAACGCTCCTAGATGATGAAACCAGACTTCTCAGCCCTAGACACAGACGGGACGTGCACTGCACCTGTTACATGCTGCGCTCCAAGGCCACTTCTGGAAGTCATTTCAGAAAGGGGGATGCCAAGGGGCCTGTGTGGTGGCGGCTTTTTCTGTTTAAGCATCTTGATCAGAGCCTTCTGCTCAAACCAGACTGGGGGTTGGTGTCTCTCCGCAAAACAGACAACACAGGGCACGTGGCCAGGGTGCTAAAGGAGAAGACAGCACCAAGTGAGAGCTGGGATCAATTTGTCCCCCAGGGAGCGATGAGATGCAACAGAAGCCACAGTTAAGTTTAGTGAAGCCACATGGGCGAGTAACAGAGCTCGGGGCTACAGGGAGTGAGCCAGACAGAGAGGGGAGCCAGATGGGGCAACAGAATACAAGGGAAGCTAGCGGAAGGGGGCAGCTCTAGAGGAGGCATTTGCAGCCAGAAGTGACAGAGCTGGCCAGAGGGCTGCGGATACTCACGGATGCAGAGACAGGCCACCAGCTTGGCCCCTTGGTCAGGCACCGGGCAGCTAGGGAAGAGGGGCTTGATCAGGTAGGTGGCGAAGACCAGGGCCACGATGTACTGGGAGGAAGGCCGGATGATGAGCAGCTCGATCCAGAGCTTGAGGAAGGCGGGCAGGGAGCCGTACACCTCCAGCATGTAGGCGTAGTCTCCCCCGGACTTGGAGATGGTGGTGCCCAGCTCGGCGTAGCACAGGGCGCCCACGATGGAGAAGAGCCCGCAGACGGCCCACACCACCAGCGAGAGCCCCGGGGAGCCGGCCTCCTTCAGCACCCCGGTGGGGGTGACGAAGATGCCCGAGCCGATGATGGTGCCGATGATGATGGCCACGCCGTTGATCAGGGTGATGGAGCGCTTCAGCGCCACGCCGTCCCCGCTGCCCGGGGGGCCCGGCTCCGCGCCCGGCGGGGCGCACGGAGACAGCGCCCCGGCGCAGCCGTTCTCATGGGCCCCGCCGCCGCCGGGCCCCGCCGGCTCCAGCATCTTCTCCAGCGCCTGCCGCTCCTCCTCCTGCGCCGAGCAGGACGAGGCGGCCGAGCTCCGCTTCTTCACCCCGCCGCTGCCCGACATGGCCCGGGAAGGCGGGCGCCGCTGCGCGCTGGCTGGGCGGAGGCGGCCGGGGCCCCCCGGGGCGGCGCGCCGGAAGGATGCTGGAGACCCCGGCTGACGGAGGGAGGACGCGGGAGGCCGGCCCGCTGGGTACCCCGGCTGCGGCGGGCGGGAGAGGCGGTCCGGCACGGAGCGCTACCGCGTGGCGCGGACCGGCGGCCGGGCTCGGGCTGGCGCAGCCGGAGAGACGAGGCCGGGCTCGGCGGCGGCGGGCGGGGAGCGAGGCCGGGCCGCGCTGCGACACGTGGCTGCGGGTGCCCGGGATCGGCAGCCGCCGGCACCTTTTTGTCTCCTCTTTATGAGCCGGGAGGCGGAAGCCAGAGCGGGCATCGCACGCGGGGGGGCGGAGAGAAGGGGCGGCCGGGGCGGGGCGGGAGAGGCGGGGCGGGGGCGGCCCCGGCATGGCGAGCACGTGCTTTTCCCCTCCTGGGGGGCTGCGGCTGAGCCTCCGTCGGGCATCACCCGCAGCCCGGCGGGGGACCCCGCCAGCCGCAGGGGAAACGGGGCGCTGGGTTGCCGGGGAAGGAGGGGGCCGCGGCGCCCCTGCACTCCGGCGCGGGGCTGCATCGCGGATCGGGCGCGTTTTAGCTGCAGATTATTTAAACCCCGCAGCGGTTTAGCTCCCAGCCACGCGAGCCGCCGCAGCGCTCCCCCGTCCTCACAGAACAGCGGCCGGTGTAGCAGCGCACCCCTGCCAGGCGGTGCAGAGAACCACAGAGCAGTGGTGGCAATCTCTCAGCCACCGGGTACCTTAGCAGGAAATAGAAACCCCACCATAAACCAACTGACACCACGTTCTCCGACAAACTGATCTTAAAAGTACCCATGCTGCGCCCTGGCTTTACGGAAGAACAGACTTCTCAAGTTAGAGACCAAGGCCCTGCTCTGGCTTGTCCAGGACTAGCCCATCAGTCCATCCCTTCCCTCTGCCTTCTGTTGGCCAGTGCTTCTGATCAGTTTCCCAAGCATTAATCCCACCCCTGCTTAAGCAGATGTATAACTTTACTCACTAGCAACAGAGGGTCCTGTGGCACCTTTAAGACTAACAGAAGTATTGGGAGCAGCTGAAGAAGTGAGGTTCTTACCCACGAAAGCTTATGCTCCCAATACTTCTGTTAGTCTTAAAGGTGCCACAGGACCCTCTGTTGCTTTCTACAGATTCAGACTAACACGGCTACCCCTCTGATACTTTACTCACTAGGCCCACTCTGGACTAGGGTGACCAGACAGCAAGTGTGAAAAATCAGGACAGGGAGTGGGGGGGTAATAGGAGCCTATATAAGAAAAAGACCCAAAAATCGGGACTGTCCCTATAAAATCGGGACATCTGGTCACCCTTCTCTGGACATGGTATTACTTATCTTATTTGGCCCCATCACTGAGCGACTCACAACCTTTATCAGATTTCTCTCCCCACATCCCTGAGGCAGGGGCTGTGCTCCTATCCCTATTTTACAGATGGGGAACAGAGACCCTTAGAGTACCCACAGCCTGGATGGACAGACTTGCCTTTGAGGGGCTTTTGCTAGCACTCTAAAAATAGTGGCTTTTTGAAGTTGTAGTTTGGGTTAGAGCTCAGGCTTAAAACCTAAGGAGGGGGTGGGCTTCAGAACTCAAAATCCAGCGTCAGCCCCTCTAAGCGCTGTCTACATAGCTATTTTCAGAGCGCTAGCACAAGGCTCACTGTTGCAGGCTGTATAGACCATTGGCCCAGAGCAGCGATCCGCGGGCAGTGGGAGCCGCAATCGGCCGGACCTGCGGACGGGGCAGGTAAACAAACCGGCCCGGCCCGCCAGGGGCTTTCCCTACACAAGCTGCGACCCCTGTTCGAGAAACCCTGGTGTAGACCTACCCAGAGAGGATAAGTAGCTTGTCCGCGGTCACACAAGAAGTCTGTGGCAGAGCACGGACTTGAACCTTGGTCTCCCAGTACCATAACCACTGGAAGATGCCTCTGCTCATGAGTGTTGTTACACATGTGCTTAAGTGTTGGCACTAGTGTCAAGGGGCTTGCTTGTAAGACACTGAGTTTAGCTACCACTAAAGTCTACATTTTCCTGGAGAGGTTATTTAACTTTTATTTTTAAATATAATTTCCAACTTTTAACATCACACTTTCTTAACACTTGTGCAGGTGAGTAACTCTGTTATTGGGACAACTCACCTGTATCAAGTTACTCACCTGCACAAATGTTTGCAAGATCTCACCCTCAAATTGTGTTATGGTTTCCCCAGTCATTTTCTTAGAGCGTTTATCTTCACTGGAAACAAGAAACAAAATATTGCATCGTCAGAATGTGCCCTCTAGTGGTCTTTGAATCATGACTGTTTTAAAAAAAATTACATTATTTAAACAACGATTTACCCACATCTCTGATTATGCACATTTATAAAAAAATTAGAACGAGATTAGCATTGCACCAGCCAGACTCCTGGAATCATTTAATGTATATGCACCTATCACAATTTGCAGTGAAATTACAGCGATCATGTTAAACGCAACTTGCTGACTGTACGCAAAACTGTTACACCAAATTATTTTTAAAAGAAGGTCAAAGATTTTCAAAGGTGACTGTTGATTTTGGGTGCCTCAATTTTTGGATGTGCCACCTGCAACACTTGAAGTGGGCTCAATTTCCAGTGGAAGGGTGCACATCACCTTTTAAAAATCAGGTTCTTTCAAGATGGGTACTCAAAAAATGAGGTATTTAATTGCTACTTTTGAAAATCTTAGTAAAAGTTGAAGAAATCTGGACCAGTGTTTCCTTAGATTATTAAACAAAACTTTAAAATCAAATTTACTTTTCACTATTTGTGGTGTTTGTTTACTTTTGCATTTCATTATCCTTGGACAATGAAATTAAACTCAATATTTTCAGTTTTGTTTATAGGCAATTTCATGTATATATTACCGTAATCATAGAAGACAAACATTTTCACTTTCTAGTTTTCATACAGAAGTAGGATGCTGCAAAAATTGGATTGCAAATACTAGAGAAACATTATTTCTAATAATAGTGGAGTGTTCTGAACAATTGAGTGAAGATATTCATACTAATGTTGTTTGTAAAAAATTTGTTTTTAACAAAACCTGAATTGACCTGCACGCCTCTAAATGAAATATAGCTCTGTCTAGTGCAGGGGCGGGCAAACTTTTGGGCCCGAGGGCCACATCTTGGTATGGAATTGTATGGCGGGCCATGAATGCTCACGAAATTGGGGGTTGGTGTGTGGGAGGGTGGGAGGGCTCCAACTGGGGATGCAGATTCTGGGGAGGGGGCAGAAATGAGGAGTTCAGAGTGCTGGAGGGGGCTCCGGCCTGGGGTAGGGGTGCGGGTGGGAGGGCTCTCGCGGGGGTGTGGGCTCTGAGGTTCAGGAGGGTGGGACCGAGGGGTTCAGAGGGTGGGAGGGGGATCAGGGCTGGGGCAGGAGGTTGGGGCACTGGAGGGGGTCAAGGATGCAGGTTCTGGGCAGCGCTTACCTCAAGCAGCTCCCGTAAGCAGCGGCATGTCCCCCTTCCGGCACCTACGCAGCGACGTGGCCAGGCAGCTCTGCACATTGCCCCGTCCACAGACACCACCTCTGCAGCTCCCATTGGCTGCAGTCAGGGCCGGCTCTAGCATTTTTGCCACCCCAAGAAGCAAAAAAAAAAAAGCCGCGATCGGCGGCAGCTCTACCGCCGCTTCATTCTACGGCAGCAGTTCGGCAGCAGGTCCTTCGCTCCGAGAGGGAGTGACGGCCCTGCCGCCGAATTGCCACCGAGCGGCCGGACGTGCCGCCCCCCTCTTCATCGGCCGACCCAGGCACCTGCTTGCTACGCTGGTGCCTGGAGCCGGCCCTGGCTGCAGTTGCCAGCCAATGGGAGCTATGTGGGCAGCACTTGCGGCGGAGGCAGGGTGTGGAGCCCCCTGGCTGCCCCTACGCATAGAAGCCGGAGCGGGGACCGGATGCTGCTTCCGGGAGCCGCACAGAGCCACAGTACACATGGAGCAGGGCAAACTGCAGACCCCACTTCCCAGCAGGAACTTGAGGGCCGGATTAAAATGTCTGAAGGGCCACATGCGGCCCCCGGGCCGTAGTTTGCCCACCCCTGATCTAGTGCATTTAAAATTAGCCAGCTTGTGTAGGCATTGGGAAAAATAGAGCAGTTTCTTTACTGGACACTAGGTTTTGAATGCAAAGTATTTCTTGTGTAAGTTTAGACAGGCTGTGTGACCCTGGGACTTTGCCAACTGGCACACCCCTGTGGCTAGAGTTGTACAGGGATCCTGTGGGCCAGATACATGCATAATAGTTCACCAACGGGTGGCATGTGAGGTCTCTAGCATTGTGAAATGTACGTACGGATGATATTTAAGAATTATGTAGCAATGCTGAACAAGTTCCTTTCGGGCAAGTGAAACAGACGTTTATCTTCCTTTCTGATCCTACCTGTATTGTCCACCTCATAACACTTGTCTATTTGCATACTGAGCCTGATGCTAATCAAACGATTAAGAATCAATAAGATAAAAGCCCCAGGAAGAAACACTCAGCAGGGCAGTGTCCTGTTTATGAATTAGGACTATGGGTTGTTAAATCGTATCTAGGGGTATTGAGAGACACCGTGGCTCCTTCACTGAGGAGACAAGCTAACAGTATGGTTGTCTTATGAAAAGAGCATCACAGCCAGCATGGCACTAACATGGTGAAAGGACTTTGGGTGAGCAAGTTATGAGAGTATCTTGTTAATTAAGACTAGGCTTTATAATGGGTGTTATTTTATATGTAACCATTTGTTTCCAACACTTCCACTGGCTCTTGCTTTGAACCTCTATGTTTTGTTAAATAAACCTGTTCTTGATTTCACTGTAAACATATCTAAGTGCTGTGTATTAAGCAGAGCGGTGATCTGAGGTGGAACCGGTAAGCAGGGGGTACCGTTTCTTTGGAAGCAGCAGATCCTGAGAGTGGCCAGTGGAATGGGGGCTGGAACACTCCAGGGAGATACTTGCAGGGATCAAGGGTGGGGGTGTGCCAATCGTTAACCTGCAGAGTGACAGAGAGGCTTGTGAGGCCTAGAGGAGATTGCTTGTGTTGTCCGTGGCCAGTGGATTTGGGGAGGTGACCCCCGGAACGCACAGCTGAGACTTCTTCATGCTAAGGGTGGGTGGTAGCAAGGTGCCTCCCAACCCTGGGTATCCGCAGGAAGCATCAGAGATGGAATGGGTTTATTTTGAACACCCACCATTAGCTGGATTTGGCATTTTCTATTAACCTCATCATCAGTGTAAGTGGTGGTTTGCAAATCCAAGTTTAAAACTAAAACACGAAACACTTTCACATCAAGATCTTGTGTGCCAG